GTAGAATTTGCAATCACAGAAATTAAACATCCCTTTGCAAGTTGTCCCATGAAACCTAGCTGAGCTTCTGCAGAATGAAGGTTGAACAGAGTAATTTCATTTTCTGTCCCAGTCTTTTCAACAGCCATAGCAGACTATGACAGCACTGTGGTTTGGCTGGATTATATTTATTCCAGCTAACAGTCAGGGATAAGACCAGACTGCAAAATTTGGATGCAAGGTTCCCATCTAAGAATTTGGTTGAGACTTTTAGAAGAACTAAAAACCATCTGCAAAATGGAAATTAGAGTTCAGACTTTTAAGCTAAACCCTCCTCCGAGTTCAAGTGCAGCTGAGCCCATCCTGTTAAACAGTATGAATAAGTATTTTGCATTTGCTTTCCATCTGATGCAAGCTGAAAAGGCAGTCACACATTCCATGCTTTAAGAGAAGTCCTGCAAATCCCTAAAAGCATTTTTAACACTAAGGTAGGACAATACTTGGGACTTGTATAGCACTTAACATCTTCAAAGCGTTGTATGAGCATTAATCCTCACAGCATCCTTGTGAGGTAGGTAAGTGCTAATATCCCCATTTCAGAAATGGGGTGAGGGCCTGGTCCCCTGCTGTTGTAGCTTGGCATAGCACTGGTCCTCACACATTTGTGCCTTTTAAACAGCAGATGAGGACCTGACCCCCAGAAAATTTAAGTGACTTACTCAAGGCCACAAAAGGAGCAAGCATGGATAAAAGGCAGGAGAAGTACCCAGGAGGACTTCTGTCATAAGAAGTCGGCAACTTCCCAGCCTCTTCCAAGAACGCAGTTACGATGCCTCTGCTTAAAAGAGCCTGTCTATATCCAGAAACCAAGCAAAGAGGCACCTGCCACTGAGCTTTACAGTTGCTGTTTGCTTTGATCTGCTTCTTCCACAACAGCTCCCAAAATTACCATGATAGCAAGCCGAAATCATACAGGTGTTAATGTTAAACTATGTGACCGGAAACCTTTGAAGAGCTACTACAAAATCCTGCAAAGTTTGTCCTGGGAATTTTATATACTTGTGTAAAACTGTATCAATTACCTACACTGATTACAAGGTGAAACCTTCAGCAATTTACTTAAAAGCCATGTTGGAGTAGTTCTTAAACCAATCCATTTTACAGTTGCCTCAATAGGAGTAAAGCTGTTAAAACCCTCTGGCTTCCTCTCAACCTGCCATTTCTACACCAGCTTTCCCATCACTGCAGACATCAGTGTGACTGGCACAGCCCAGAAGCATTACAGGCATTTCAAAACCAGTTGCAATTAGCCTTGCTTCTTTGACTTCATTGGGAGTTCTGTTTGAGGAGGATCTATCTACAGAAAGAGATACAAGGCTGAAATAAATGCACTACATCTTTTATATGTCCAAATAAGAAGCCAAAGGATCTCCAAGAAGGTGATAACTACAGAAAAGAAAGAGCAAAAGTAATCGGACCATGCGTGTAACCTCAAGTGACCAGAGACAGGATTTGCAGAGGAGTGTTTGAATATAGCCGCGTGAAAAGAAAGCCTCTGTACTCAGCAAGCGAAGGAGCCGACACTACTGGGGTGCTTCGTTCCCTCTGTAATGCCCCTGGGCCAAAGACTGGGTGCTTCTCAAAGACTGTCCCCCTGAAAAGGAGAAGAGTGGATCAAACCTCACAGTTTTACAGTGCAAAGAGACAACGGGAAGGTCCACAAAGGCAGTGCCACAGTCACGTCATTCCCACTTCTTGTTTGCTCCCTTTCCAGGTGAAGATTGCCCTCGCTGGGGTTAAGGGAACAGTTTTAATCCAAAGAAAAGGCATTTAACAGACTGTCAGCAACTGCTTAGCGTTTCTCAGGGTTTATGAAACTCAGAATTGTGTCCAATTAGTGTCCACAGCATCTGGTCTCTTCCCAGCAGGAAAGAGCCTCCAGGAAAACGGTCTCATTCAAGTAGTATGGATTAAAAGGAAGAATGCAGAGCAGGAGAGAGATTTTGAAGATTAAGAGCCTTCGCTGACGAACCTCCAAGCCAGCCAGGACTCTGCCTGACTTCGTACACTGAGGGCTCTGCCTCATGTTCCTGGGAAGGCTGGAGCCGCTGCAGCACTAGGACAGAGCCAGCGTGGCCAGCCAATATGTGGCCTAGCCACCCGCACCAGCTAAGGGGACAGCGAGGGAACAACATCCCACTTGCGCTGCAAATGTTTCTGCTGTCCCAGCTAGAGCCTCCCAGAGACCAGAAACTGCACCTCTGATGGCCAGTGGAGAGGAGAGGGCCGGCTTCCTAATAACACTTAAAAGATCCTTGTCTGCAAATATCCAGTGGCTGATGGTGAAGCAGGACAACAAAGCAAGCCACGATGAAAAAGCACGCAGAAAAGCAACTCAGCCATCTTCAGGAAATTGAAGACTGCTCATTTCTAGACAGGAAGGAAGAGATAATCAAAATTCTAACTTTTAAATAAAGGTTACTCCATCACACACGCATTTTCCTCAAAGCAAAGGGGAGCTCAGGGTGCAGGGGGCTCCTCTGAAGAACTGCCAGCTAAAGACTGAGTGTGCTGGACTGACCCATGACAGGGAGCTGTACGTCAGCCTGAAATGTGCTGTTTGCTGACATGCTGGGAGGACAGTGGGGTTCACCCCAAATGCTTAGATTTCCTCTTAGCTGGGTCAGTCTGTTGCAGGAAGAGATTTGCAAACAGTCAAGCTGTAGTAACAGCAGGTGACATCCGCAGAGAGCCACGCTGCAGGGTTCAAGCTGCGGCCAGCAGATAAGCAATGCTGATGAATGAAGATGTTTTATGGCTCTAAATTCCCTTAGCAGTTTACTCCAGGCAGGCCCCGGTGTGCCAGTGAGTAAGTGCTGACAATATTACACAACAGCATTAAAGGGAAGAGATTACACGGGGCTGTGCTATTTACAATGCTTTCCCTCCCAATAATGCAGCTGACCTTTCTGATCTCTGTCTCAAAAGCAGCAGATGACTCCACGGGGTCAGGACGGTTAACCTAGATTTTTGCAATACTGGCTGCATTTGCAGTAATGCCGAAGTCATGGGGAGGCAACGCCTGTTCCACAGCCAGTCCCACTACGTGAGGCTGGGGAGGAGCCGGCAGCCCACTTAGCACCTCTCAACACCAAGGGAAAAGCTAGCAGGGTTGGTAGGGTTGCCTCAGCTGCCCCCAACCCTACCATGCTCCTTGCAAAGAGGAATTCCTTCTCTGCCGACTGTGCCAGGGACTCGGTGCCAGGCTTTCTCCTGGAATGGTCTGAGCACGCTAGGTATGGAGGCCGTGGTGATTTTCAGCCCACAAGACGAGGCCGGTGTGGAGGGCTGCCCCTCCTGCTCCTGCTGCCCATGTAAGCATGTGCAGGGGGCTGTTGGGGAATGAATGGATTTGAGTCCTGCAGCCCGTTTTGGTTGTCCCTATTCGGCTGCAGGTTTGAAGAGGTGCAGAAACCCTCAGCAAGCTTCTTTTGCACACCTGAGCGCAGTCGTGTCCTAAGCCACTGGGGGAGCATCTCAGCCCATGGGAGTGGCCCTACAATGAACAGAAGGAAAAAGCACATTCAAGATGGTTTCAAACAGAAACAAAGCTTGCTATTAGATTTCCTAAATAAGAGGAAAAAACATAGATATGATCACAAATGAACTTGGATTAAAAAATCAGGGCAACCTGTTCCTTTATATTTTTAAGAGATTCTGAAGTCAGGAGTAATCTTGCTTCAGCAGACTGGCAGACAAACCAACCGGAGAATTTGGATCAGAATTAAACAGACTTTCCCAGCTGTGATGGCCCTCACATTCTCACTGCATCCACGGGAGTTCAAGAAGGAACTCAGTGCTTTTCAGGAAGCTCTGCTGAAAAGGGGCTTTCCAGAAACAAGCGGTGCCAAGCTGATCATTTACCACCAGCTGGCAAAACACAACAACAATCTACACCCAAAATCAGGGCCTTGACCGCAGGAAATGCTGACATGAAAATTTGAGAGATAATGTAAGCAGCAGTACTGTAAAGCTTAATGACTACATGGAATATTGTTTGTTAGGATACTGAGGAAGAAAGGCATAAAGGTTGGATTCCTGTCTGCCGTACTAAGGACAATTAGGACATACATTAGTAAGATGTGCTCAAAGTCCTGCTGTAAAAATCAAAGTTCCTCATGTGCCCATTACATCTCAGCTGTCACTGGTGGCTGCAGACACCGTGTAACTGCACACGCATGGCAGGGGAGAACGCACTGGCCTGGCTACCCATATGTCCCTGAAATCCCACCAGCCTCCTAGCTCTGCCACACGCAGCAAGGCTGACAGGCACCTACAGACCTGCCCTGGAGCTGTGATCAGCCACAATCAAAGCACACAGCACTGCGTGTCAGCACGCCTCTTGCTCTGTGCTCCCTGCTTGGTGTTCTGCTTCCATTCTGGTTTGGCTGGGGGCTGTCCCACATGCTGTCATTGACTCCAAAGCTCAGCCCTCATCTGGATATCCTGTTTTTACTCTACCTCCAGGCTTCCTTTCAGCAGAGGCAATAGCTCCAATTTGTGTACTGAGTTTGTAATGCACAAAAAGAGACAAACATCGGTTAAATTCATTTTTACCTATGACTTTAGCAGAGATCTGTGCCTGTCTGCCTACTATTGAAAGCAAGTCTTCTAGCACAGTGCATGGCCAAACCTCTTTTCCATCAGCCCTCCTCTTTGCAGACATTCAGCATCAGTTTCAAGACTAACAAGTAATAAGCAGTAGTACGGCACTTCCAAGGAGGAGAAGTTGAATGAGTAGCTACTGCAGGGACAGTCTAAGCTTTCTGATGTGGACTCCACACTGAAGTAAGCTGCATTCAGAGAAAGCCATTGAAAAAAAAGCCCCAAAGGTAATGCTTCAAAGAAGCAAAATCAACATCACCAATGTGCCTAGAGAAATGGAGATCTCTCTCAGGGGTGAATGCAGCTACAGCACCTGAGATATAACCCATGTTGTTCACAGACTATTGGCACTCCACCTAGCTCCTCTTTCTGAAGTCCTCTTCATCTCTGCTCTCTACAGCTGACAGTGCAATAAGCATTTGGGCTGCATAGTAAGTAGCCATGATGATGACGCGCGAGTAGGGCACAGGAAAGCAGAACTTGTTAAGTGCAATGGTCAGATCCGACACCATGAACAGCATCGCACCGATGCAGGCAGAGAGCTTGGTCCATGTCCAGAGGTCGTTGCACAGCTGCATGCCGGCGACCGCTCGCCAGCCCATGAAGCCAATCAAGGCGATGTAGACAGCTACCAGGTAGGTGAATGGGCCTGAGAGGTAGGAGTACAGGAAGGCATAACAGGAACTGGAAACAAGGCCCATCAACAAGCCAGCTTTGAGGTCCAAAGGCTTCATGCCAAAGGCTGAAGAGTACAGGATGTGTGTGATGGCGAACATCAGCAGACCTGGAAAGAGGCATTGACATAGCAAATGTGACCTTTCATCAGTGACTGGCAGTTGGTAGCAGAAGAAAACTCATGGCTATACTGCGTTTTAAATATACCACAACAAGCACACCCTTAGATGGCCTTGCAGTGTTACAATCCTCAACACTTCCAGTGGGAGCCATACTGACCTCTTGGGACCATTTTAATGTAAAAATCTGTGCACAGGAGATCAGCCTCAGCACCAAGCTCCTGTCCTAAGAAGGAGCCCCAGTGCATCTAGAGCTGCAGCCAAGTACAACTGTGTGGCGATGCAAGCCTTTTTGCTGAGAGGCCAGGTGAACTAAGCTGCTGCAGAAGGAATAAAGCTTGTTTTTCAGGCGGTTCCTCCTCCCCTGCTTTGGACAGAAGGGTGGGGGCAAGGCAGACCAAAGATCATCCTCTCTCACTATCTGAAGTGTTTTGCTCATAAGTCACATTTGGAACTGGAAGGCTGGAATCAGAGCAGTGTAGCAACGAAATGTGAAAAAAAATACCAATACCTCCAAACCCAGACACAAAGCCTGATCGTATTTAGTCAGAAACCCAAAGACACTCAGGGACTAAATCTGGCTTCTACTCCATCTCTGCCCATAGCTAGGAGAAACCTAAGCTGGAAGGAAGCAGCTGGCATATTTCAGGGACTGCACCAGTGTGATCTGCCAACAATTTTACGACCATTTGCAAGATTTAGCTGAACCTTAGCTGGAATCAATCAGTGAAAATAAAATGCCGGCTTCCCTTTGAAGTTAAACACCCTTGAGAAATGCCAGATGTGGGTGTTGGAAGGTAATGCCCATATGTTATTCACTTGCTACTAATCCATGTGACAAAAAATGTCACAATGTGTTGGTACAGCTGCTGACTACTCGTGTGGTGCCAACTGGCCAACTGTAGCTAATGGCCCCCAAACTGAGCTCCTCTGGTCCTCTGGTTCCCAGGCCCACACATGGTACAGCTGCAGGCTGGCCCACTTTATCCTGGCAGGGTTATTCCAGTAGCTGGAAGTTTTCATGCAGCTCTAAAGCATGAGAAAAGGATCTGGGAAGCTGAGTCCTCCAGCAGGACACTTGTTTACATTTAAAGCATGATGCTGTGGTGTAAAGCGCAGTCACTAAAACCTGCTGCTCGCAGACATTTCTTCGTCCTAATACTCTTGCATTTGAGGGAGCTCAAAGAAGGGGAAGTGTCTCCCTGCCTTTGAGGAGGATCAGATCGGACATCCACTGAAAGCTCAGCCATGGTGGGATGAGAGAGGAACCTGTGGGAGGGAGGGGGCTGGTGGGGTCTGGTCTGCAAGGTGAGGCTGGAGAAAATGGACAGTATGAAGGAGAGGGAACGGGAGTGCAACAAGAAGCTGATGTTTCACAGAGCTATTACACATCACAGCACTGAGGAAACCAAGGAGGGATTTAGGACAAGAGCTGTTTATAGTGCTGGAAAGGTTAGAGCCCGGGGGGTGGTAAGGAGAAGAAGGCTACCTTGCCCTAGCCATGAGGAGTGGTTTTGCCTTCAGTTGCATTACGTGGAGAGTTCTGGGATGGAGAACTGAAGAATGTGTTGTCCTACATGCAGGCAGCTGGCAACAAGGAGAAGGAGAGGAGGAGGACAGGATGTGGCAGCCAAGCAGAAGCCCAGAATGGCAAGAGGAGTTTTGTGATACGTGGTGGGGCTGGTCACAAACAAGAGAGTCAGCTCTCAGGTTTGCTTATTCAACACACACAAATCAAGCCAGGAACTGGGGAAACCTGTGACGGCTGCACAGGGAGCAGGGTACATTTCTCCTGCATTTCTCAGCCTTTGGCTCGGCCCTCCCAGCCACCGCCCTGGGCCCCGGCCCCCCCAGCCACATCAGGCAGATCAGCCCTTCTCCTCTCCATCCCCTTCCTTCCCCCTCCCTGCCCCTGGAGCTTCCCCTCAAGCAGGCAGTAAGTCCTTTTTGTTAGTCCCTGTCTTCACCAAATGCATAAATTGTTTCTAAGTGCCTGCTATCAAAGGAGGTGGATGTTTAACACTGTAAAGTATCTTCTACATGTGGTAAGACCCTAGTCAGAAGATAGAGTGTTATTAGTGGACTCAAACAGCAAAAATGAAAGAACAGTCAAGTGTGCCAGGAGTAGGTTCCCAGGCTCTGACTTCCCTATAAAGTAATGAACAAATGTCCTTTTATAAACTTATTGTCTCAAAAGCTATTCAAATCAGGCCAGTTCCCAACCCTGTTTTTTCAGCCTGAAAGCTGTAGAAATTGAACAGAAAGTACATTTTTATATATTATTTCATCGTATTCTCCTGAAATTTCAAATTCCCACAAACGGTGACGTCAAAAGGTTGAATATTGTCAGTTGTCGACAACAGCAGCCTGCTGAGTTTTAAACAGGAGAAAATACATTTTGCAGGAGAGGTGAAGGATGAAGTGGGGTGGTGCGCTTTATCTGCTAAGAGCTGAAACACAATGTTAACACTTCACTGTGGAACATGGTAGCTTGGATTACCAGGGACTGAGGCAGGCACGAGACAGCCAGGATGAAGGCTGAGATTTTCAAAATGCTCTGAGAGACCCTCTCTTCTCCTTAGGAAGAAAAATGTGTCCAAACCCGCAAAGGGACACTTCTCAGTTGTGAGACTAGGGTCGAAAATCCAGCTCATTTGCAGATTAAAACACGTTAACCAGATACTGAGTTGCCATGATTGGTTGACCTTCCTCTAGCGCTAAATTGGAGAGATATCCCAGCTACGTGGGAATGGAGAAGTTCAGAACAGTCCATGTACAAAAACAGTCACGGTGAGAATCAGGCCTTGAATGTTTTCCAAGCCACAGCTCAAGGAGTAACTCCAAGAGGCAAAAAAGAGGCACAAGCAGTCGGGCTGAGGTGACCCGTGCTGAGCCAGGTACCCCTGTTAGGAGGAGGCCCGTCGGTGGGAATGCCAACACCCAGCACAGAGCGGATGGCACCCCAAGAGAAGGCTGGAGCTCCTCAGCCACATGCCCAAGGTTCAGCCAGATAGCTCCAATCCTCCAGGCCTAATCTAAACCCCACCAAAATCAGTAAAAATTTTTACATGAACTTTTAATGAGATTGGGATAAGCCCTTGGGAAGCAGGATTAAAACCAGATTCAGAGCATTTGGCCTTTCATACCTAGCATTTCACACACTTCCCTCTCATAAAGAGCGAGCTGGTGGGAATCCCAGAATAAAACAAAATACTGACCTCATGAGAGGGGGGAAAAATAAGCCTCTGACTTTCAGAGCTGACAACAGCACAAGTCAGAAAAGTTCCCTGGTCTCATCACATTTTCCAGTGGGACAGTCACAGCAGCCAGTTAATGGTGTGTGTTACGTGAGATCCCTGTGCTGGCTAAATTAACTTCAGAAGCCCCACCAGTCAGTTTAGTGAAGGACTCAACTGCTGCTGATTTCTTGTGACAGTCCAAGGCCAGGGAGAGTGTTGCTGCAGGCAGGTTCAACATGGCTTTAAGTGATTAATCTAAATCATTATGTTCTAGTCTGCAAACTAGCAAAATAAAACAAGCTTGTTTTGCTCTGAGAGATGTGGATCTTTCTGTAGAGAAGACAGGTCACTGTGGTAAGGTTTGCCCTTGATTCCCCGTCATTTACATGCCTTGCAAAACAGACATGTCTTGTACAACAGGCTGCATGATTCATACCGATGAACCTGCAAGCAGGACAAGGCTTCTGAAACTTTTGTTGTTGGCATCCACTTAAAACACTTTTCCCAGTCTGCGTGCTTGTCTATCAAAACATAAGTGTCCTCTCCACCTGTTCTCCACTGAGGACCTTTGCACCATGTGTCCTACTTCTGATCCTTGTAGCGAAGGCTGACAGATCTCCCTGCAGAGATACTTCCTGTAGCTTCATGGGAGCTGCCAAGTGCCATGAGCATTTCCTTCTCTTCCCCTGGGATTCTGCCCATGCCACCGTCCCAGCTCCAGCCAGCTGAGATGCTATGTGCACGTGCCAGGGAACCAAACCTGCCCCAGTTACCTCTCTGACCTCAAGAGAAGCTCAAGACTCATCCATGATGTGACTCCTCTAACCATGATGGATTTTAATCAAGGGATGAGTGCTTCCCACTGCCCGGGGCTTAAGCTGTACATGAATAAACAAAACACGTGGCCCAGCAGCTCACTGCTAAATAAAGAGGGTAACAGCTGGACACTGTGGCATCCTTTAGGACAGACACCGCACTCACCATGAATGAAGTAGCCTTGCTCCTGCCAGATGAGAAAGGCGTCTCCCACTGCCGAGAATATGAGTCCCGCTAGGATGCGGCTGGCGCTCCGGTGCGACACTAAGAAGTTAATTCCATGAGCCAGAAGGAACACCCACAGGCAGAAGATAGGCAGACATTTGATGAGGGCACTGAACCAGGAGGGGCTGGAAGTTGGCAGCCAGAGGACAAAATAGACACAGGTGGCTTTAAAGAAGGGCACCAGTTTGGGGCCTTCACTCTTCACCTAGAAGAGACAAACATTAAAAAAAGATAAATTAATAGTATCATCAGAAGCATCAGTGGAATAAACTGCATAACAGAACTGTCTTCTTCCTTTTGAAAGCTGCTCTTTCATGCATACTGTCAGCTAGCAGCGTTTCTACTCTAAGAAATGCTGGTTGAACTTGACCGTGATCCTCAGCCTAGTCCTTTGTCACCCTCTCTGCTGAAAACACTTCTTGGCTGGCAGGATGTGTTTTGGGTGGTGGAGACAGAGGAAGTTTTAGATACCTTTTCTCTTTATTTGTTCTACTGAAAACGTTTAGGCCATCGGTCAAACTCCTCTGGTGGTCCTTGCCACCTATTTTGTGTTTAGACTAACCCCTTTTATACACCTTTCCTGTAGCTGTGAAAACACTGCACTCCTCAGGAATATCCCAGCAGCAAGCAAGCCAATAAAAGTGCAAATCTTCCCTCCCACTTTGGTGAATCCTTTTGCTTCAATCGCCCTGAGGATACAACCTCTCTTCTAACCCATTCTCTCTCCTGTCCTGTAGCCTCATGCCTAGATCTTGCTGTGGGCATCACCACATGACTTCAAAACCCATCACCTCAACCTCCCAGGTGGGGATGTCACTTCCTCAGCTGACTAACATCAGCATCAATCACGTGTTGCTTTGTTCTAGCATTACACTAATAATATACCACCCATATTGCAGGAAACATTTTGACTCAGGGCTCTGTTGTGTAAATCCAGACACAAAAACACAGCATGAGCACTAGACTACTCACAAAGCCACAGCAGAGGCAGGGCGCATAGCTACACACTCCGCAAGCTGGGTCTGCTCTTACCATACACTTAGCCAAGACCACTCTGGGCAGTGATAAGATACACACTGTGTTCACCTGCCCTCCTGCGATATTTCTGCATTTTAGTGCAGGTGGGGAAAACCCCACATAAGAAACAAAGCTACGATTTTATTTTCTCCTGGAGTGCAGCTGAGGGCCAAAGCAAGGAGCAAAGGAAGAGGCTGTGATTGCCTCATGTGCCTGCACTGTTGATGAGCTATGTCCTGGGGTCTTCTAGGAGGGCTGTTTCCTCCTACAGCTAAGGCAGTGCAACCTCCAGCAATCAGGGGTTTTACTCTCAATCTTCTAACCTCTTTGGTCAAGCAGGATTTAGTTGCTTAGTATCACAACAACTTCCCTTGCCGATGGCCAAAGCAGTCAGAGGCCTCATGCACTCGAGGAGGACATGAGGGAAAATTTAGAGGCATCAGAGCTGGGTTCACACTGCAAAGTCCATCAAAATCTGAACATCCAGGTGTGACACTGGGGTTGGTTATCTCAAGCAAGCAGCCCATGCTCCAAAAACCTGCAAAAGAAACACTGGTCTTTTTTTCCAAAACACTTGGCCCTGTTTCTGCTTCCTGCATTATGGGACATTGCCATGACACAAAACCAGTGTCCATCTTCCTTTGATGCAATGTGCCTTGGTGCAGATACCCAGAACAGCTGAAGGCTGCACAGCAAATATCTCCATGCTTACAGTGCTCATTTAATAAAGCCTAAACTCATCAAAATTCAGGAGCTTTTACAGACAGAAGCAAAGGGAATCAGGTGAAGCTGGAAGACAGAGGCGGTGGAGGGCATCTTTGTATGCAGTATCTAAAAAGGGAACACAATCTCTGAAGCAGCAAGACCATAAATAAAGGGCATCCCAAGAACACAGTGCTTTCAAAATTGTTCTCACATCTGACGTAAAGTTCCCCAGCATATCAGCAGTTTCTTAGCAGTAAGGTATTTCATTATTCAGGTATACATTATTCACAGGCTGTTGCCAACACAATTTTTAAACACTCCATTAAACAACCAGGCTACACAATTCACTCACAAAAGGACATCAGCAACCCGTTAACTTTCTTGTATTACATGGGGAGTCCACCGTGAGTCCTCCACTTAGGTTGTCTAAATTAATCACCATTTACCACCTCTTGTCTACATTCCTTGGGAGAATTCTGGCAGCAAGTAACAAATGAACTTGAAATAAAAGTCATAGAAGCCCACGTAGTCTCACAGCACTGGGGGTGCCTGGCAACTATTAAATATCATAGTGGGAAGAGTGGAGCCAAGCTTCCCCCTTCTTCAGACCCAGCACCTTGCCCTCCTGAAGTGACACATCAGGCTCAGGCTATCCCCAGCCACCTCCAAAGCTGGTGCCCAGCTCCAGCTCTGCCTCCTCCCCTTCTCTGGCTATTTTTTTATTAAAAATGTAGTTGATCACATTCATCCTCTCACAGTTGCAGGCAACAGATGACAGCGCTTCTGGCAGGGTTTCCTCCTCTCCCTCACCAGTTGTGGAGGATCCCCACCACTCTGTAAAGAGCCCGAGACCTTCAGCACGGAAAACTAACAACCTCCAGAGCTACAAAGTGCAAAAGAATTGGCAGCATCAGCGGTGCTCCAGGTCCCTGTAACAGTCTCAGCTAAGGTAGGTAGTTTTGAACCTCTGAAGGCAAAAGTTTATGCTGAAAAACATAGTTCAAGTTCAGCCTTGTTTGTAATACATCACAGAGGTATTGTTAGAAGCATACAGGAGTGTATTTGGGTTAATAAACACAGGAAGTTTCATTTAATACCCCATTTTAAAAGAAAAACACCCTCTAGGAGCAGTTACCATTACAATCACAGCTTGCCCTCCCCTGTGTGCATGCAGGATGAGACAGGTTTCAATTACACTTGTCATTTTCCCCAGGAACCTTGCCTTATTGAATGTAAGATATGCACTTGTACAGAAAGATTATGTTTGCTTGGTAAATTTAAAATTACCATTTCTTACTATTTGAATGTGAATTTCCTAAGCCCTGTCAGCATTATTTTTAAAATTATGATTTGTATTATTTCCATCCTCATAACAGTTAAGGAATTTTTCAGGCATAAGGGGTCAGATTCCAGCGTCAGTTACTCACCCATAACCCTGGAATTTACAGCGTTATGGAGTGCTTGTATAAGAATAACCTCGTATATCTAGAAGGGGTGCAGGCTTCTCATCACTGACACTTTAACTCCTGTACACTTTTTCTACAAGTATAATTCAAATGAGTTATTTCCAAACATGCCCTTGCCCGTCACTGAATGCTGCAGCTCAGTGGAGCGCCTGTGCTGGCTCTGACCAAAACAAGGGCCCCGTGAGGGACACCACTTGCTGAGACAGTGGTACCTGCACGGCTGAGGGCTGGCCAGCACATCCTGCCGGGATGGGGGGGGCACTGGAAATACTTGGGAGAAGTCTCTCAAGAAAAACTGAGGCAATCAGAGGGTTAGGCTGCGGGACTGCCCTCTGTTTGGACATGTGGCTGAGGCTTGAGAAGAGGTGATGGGGCAGCTTGCCACCTGGAGGACAAGTCAAAGCTGGTATTGGGAAACCACGTACCAACATGAGTCAAGGCTGTGGCTTGAGGAAAGCCAAGCACATAATCCATGACTGGACTTGCCTGTACCTCAGGGAAGGGAACATTATTTCTTGGCTGCATGGCTAAATTGCATCAAACCACCCATCTTCTTTGCACCTGTGTCTCAGAGACAGAATGTGAGATGGGGCTGTGCTGTGGTGTTGGAAAAAGAAGCACTTCATGCAGGTGACAAGGTCCTTTTTGCTAATATATGTGATTGTCACGGCTTTAAGCTGGGTTTTGCCATTTTATTACAAATTCTCTTGCATTTTTCTTCCCGCTTCTTCTTCCACTGCTCTGGGCTGAAATGCAGTACAGAAAACTTCTTGAATACAATAAAAAGGCAGTATTTCCAAGTTTTCAATTTCTAGACTGAGCATACTTTAGGGCATTTTCTCAACTGCTATGACTACTAAGTTACTTAGAGTCTTTAAAAATTAGTTTGAACTCCTCTAAAGCCACTATCTCTGTATTTGGGGAATTACGGTGAAAGTATCATTTATTAAATTATCTGTATCCAACCAAATCCAGGAAACCCACCAAGACTTAGGCAGACTAGGAGGAAGTTGTGTCCTGGCTCTCACCAAGAGACTCACCAAGAAATTGTGGACCAGATGATCTCCTAAGGTCCCTTCCAACCTCAACCATTCTGTGATTCTGTGATCTTCAAACAGAACATAGTATTGGCACATGCAGCTCTCTGGAGGCTCAGGACTTGGATATCCACCTCCTTCCCATGTATGCATAGGCTTACAATATCCCTTCTTGTTTTGTCCGTTCATTCTGCTCCGGTTTGAAATATTACTCATTTCCTTGTTGCTGTTGTTCAACAGTGACAGATGACGCTATCACACAAGTATTCCAACCATGCTGTGATGTGGTATTGGTGTAAGATCTCTTGAGAGGTTAGGCTAGCTGATGAAGAAACACAGTTACAGAAGTGGCAGACCTGAAGAAGTAACTCTGAGCAACAAGGACTGACAAAAAGTTCCCAACGTGCAAAATACAAGATGTAGCACACAAAGATGACCAAAAGCCTCATCAAACAGCTGCTAGGCTATATCTACAAAGTAGTTATTGGTGACTTGCCAGGAGCCTAGGGGTCCCTGCTGGATGATGTCTTCTTGTGCCTCCCCGCTGTGCAGCACTAGGAAATGCTCATGATTCACATCTGTATAAACCAATATTCACTGCAGGGTATGACCTGGGGAACATCTCTGCTGCTCCTCAGCAGCACAGAACCAAGCCAAAAAATTTACAGCTAGCTCCTCTGCCCCAGAATAAGCTGCATCCACAGAGGAATGGCTACATTTGTAAGCCAGTGCTGTGATTTTCTTTAACGTTTTGGAGCCAACTGTCTGTATCTACATCACAAGTGGGATGAAGAAAATCCAGCTGCCACATGGAAGGAGACACCTTGCTCCTGAGGTACAGAGGAACGTCAGAAGCTTCTTGCTTTGAAATGCAAAGTTAGACAAAGTTCACTCTTCCTAAGCCTCACGCTGGTCCCAGGAAACAACGTGTAGTATCAAATAATGCTCTCTCTCTGCAAGTCCCCTAAATCAGCCTGCAC